ATCTGGTAAGTAGTTCGTTTTGCTTGAAGTGTGTACGATGGACAGATCTCTGCAATTACGTTTACAAAGCTCATAAGTTTGAGCTATGCAAAGCATATACGCCTCTCAATTCTACTCCATTTCATGATTTTATCATTTTCTTCTCAAATTCGAACCAATACAAATAGTTTATGTAAATTAAATTGAATAATAATTTAATTAATGATAATCACATATTATTTTCTCTAAAGAAATAAATATAAACATTCTATTCTCAATTTTTATTATTATACATTGTCTATTTCTATATCTATATTTAAATCTAGACACGCGCGTGTGTGTTAGAATGGCATTAAGGCCAACTTGCTGTGGCTCTGAGAGGCACAAACCCTTTGGACCATGCCATTTTGCTTTGATGCAAGTGAAAATGACTCTGTTGCAGCTGCTTTTCTTGGATCTCATGCATTTCAATCTGCCTTTCCAAATGAGGAATAACTACAACCGATTTGTCTCTAGCTTATAAGAGAACTAGACCTCTAGAAAGTTAAGGTGTTCAACTGATGCTGAACGCTGCCCTTGGGGACCTTTGATGGCGATGTGGATATTTAATGAACTTGTTCTTTGGCTGGAAAAATTATATCTATTTGTTCTCCACCCAACAAAATCTCACATGTAAAAGATTTTGTGTGACCACTTGAAGTCTTTTGCCCAAAGAGAGAGAGATAGAATTCTGACCATACCTGAGTCACCTTTTAAGTAACAGCAGTGCTGTTAGTTGTGATACTTATGAGATGGACAACTAATTTTGGTCCTGCATGCCTCTCAACTATTAGGCAGCCTAGTCTTTGCCGAAGGCGGTGTGTTCTTTCATGATAAAATCCTTTCAAAGACCAAAATTGTAACTAGAAATTGATTAAGAACCATTTTATTGATAATAAAGCAAAGGGAAAAATGTATAACATTTGGATGGTCAGGTATTTTTCAATTCCAAACAAAAATTTTTTTAAGGTGATGGGTATATACTTAAAATATCTTATCGAGTTAATTTGATGGTTTGGAATGTGAAATAAATTAAACTTGATGACGGACTTTATCACGTTTTAAATTAATATATGGATTTTGCTAATCAATACTTAATATTTAATATTAGTTAAAATGTTATTTATAATATTTATTATATACCATGAAAGTGTATACGAGATCTTTGCGAGGAAAATCATCAAAATGTCAATTACATAGAACCACATTTAAATTCTTCATAATTGGTATGTCGGTAGAGCCAAGGTGGAGGCAGCTACCACCGCTTAATTTTTAATTTTTTATTATATAAATAACTTGATATATATAATATAATTATTTTTATAATTATCTTGCAATCACTTTTTATATAAAATCTTAAATTCATCGCTATGATTTCCTCCATCATCATCTGAACACAACATAAAACAATGCAAGACAACATAGTAGAACACTCAATGAATGGCATCAAATACCTCAAAACAATCAAATGTAAATGACAGCTGCAGCCCATGTTTCACCTAGTATCACCACACATAAACACATTTTTGACCTATCAACGACCAATTTTACATGGGCGTCGGTAAAAAAAAAAATTTGACAATTAATGTGATAAATTTCATTGCACAACTTTATTATAAGCTCAACAGGTGCTCGCTAAAGATTAATTTGAAACATTTATATTGAATATTTTATATATGTTTAAGCACTCATTACTCCCTACCAAGCCCACAAATTCAATATAATGGCAATGAACTTCATTTTTCTGAAATTACTGTGCAGAGGACCCATAGCTTTTACTCTGTAAAGCTAAAAATATCAGCACCCTTCCAATGGCAAGCACTACTGACCACAAATATGAGATGGACCCAATTAATTTTTCAAAAGAAACATTAACTCTTTGCCTATGTGTGATGAAACATGAATTCATTGTGGACTAGAGCCATGGGATAAAAGAATAAATAGAATAAAATCTTGATAAATTAATACTAGATAAATTAATAATTTCAATTAAATGATATCTTTTATAGGTCTTGACTTAAGACCAACATGATAAATTAATTATTCGTTAAATTTAAGGAATAATACATGAATAGACTTTCCATAAATCCGCTGTTCAAATAAGTAAGATCCGTAAAATTCAGGAACTTTTTTTAATAGTATCATAATTAAAATAATAATAATAATTAAAAAAATAAATATATTAAATTTATAAGTTAGAAATTTTAACATTAAATTAAAAAAATGTAAATTTAGTACATTTATTTAATACTTCAAAGTAAAAATATTTAAAAAACTATAATTGTTCATGACGATTTTTTATATTTTGAAAACGTTGTCTAACAGTATCAGTAGAAATACTATTAAATATATCTTTTTCAATATATGTCATCAAGCAATTATTCATCTACTTGTCACTCATTTGATTGAATAATTTATGTTTTATAAATTTCATTGTTAGAAAAAGTTCATTCAGTTGATGTTATTGCAATTGATAAGATCAATATAAGTTTTACTAACAAATAAACCAAAAGACCCAGGAGAAGAAAGTTACTGTATGTCTCAAGAGTAAAACTTGAATTTTTAAAAAAAGAGAGTAGTATAACTTTTGATTTTTTTAATAAAATTTTAAATTATAATTTTTTTATTTTTTATGTAATATTTGAATATTAATATATAAACCTTTTTAAATAAATTTATTTTTTAATAAATATTATTTAAAATTAATAGATAAATGATTTTTTGATAAATTTTTTTCTGAGAAGGGATAATGACCCAATAACAATGTGGAAAAGTATTTTCCAAGTACCTTCCTTGTTTGCTCACAAATAGGAAAATTGTCCCTTCGTAGCTAATGATTTAGCTGATCAATTAGTCAAAGAATGTGATCAAAATAAATATTTAGGAAATCGACATTACAGAGGAATTGAAAATAAATGGATCTTGATTTTAATTCGTGATGATTGAAAGAGGAAAACCGGAAATTCAGCAGAGATTTCAAAAAAGCCTCAATGAAGGCTCCAATATCATGTTAAAGATGAAGTGAAAGGTTACAATTGATCGAGAACCATAATATCTAGAAAACTCTTTAAATTATTTAAGAAAAATTTAAATAAGTTCTCACACTTTTATTGCATTTAATCAAGTTTTTAAATTTTTATTTTGAGTTAAATAAATCCATATTTTTTATTTTAAATCAAATAAATTTTTATGATTAATAATTATCTTAGTCAAAATATCATTTACCATTTCTATGCTTCGTGCCAATAATATAAAACTAATGTGGCATGTGATATGTCATAATGGATGATGATGTGACATGTTGATGTGGTATAATAACATGATTGTATCACATTTTTCACTTTCTACACTAACACTACGTCAACATTATATAGATATAAAATGATGATATGAATCTTAATAATTTATTTTAAAAAATTAAATAGCATAATTATAAATAATTTAATAATGATGATAATTTCAATTTCTAGATGCACTTAACAATAAACAAAAATTAACAAATATAATAACAAAAATCTAAATAGGAAGTATATAATTTCCTAAAAAATATTAAGGCTATCAATTAACAATTTAATGAGCGAGCAATTTCCTAAAATTAATTATAAAATTTAAATATAATATCAATAAACAATTCAATGACGAGGCAATCCTAAATAAAAAATTTAATTATTCACAAGAATTTAAGTAAAAAAAAACAACGAATTTGTAAGAAAGCAATCAGATAGTTCCTAAATAAGTACACAATAACTAACTTTAGGTGCTTAATCAAATCCATGTTTTGTTGCTTTCAACAAAAAATGACTTAAGACGGTAAATCTTAAATCAAAATCACAAATATAAATTATTAAATAAAAAAATTTAAAGTTAAAAATATTAAAAACAAAATAAATAAATAAAGCAAACTTATCAATTATTATGACATGAAAATAAAATTACTTATTAAAAGTTTCGTGCACACAGAGAATGCTGGTAAACAAAAAGGTATAAAAAATATATTTTTTATTTTTACAGTATTTGGTAAAAAGAAAAGAGAACAAGAGGTAATGATTGTGAAGTTTTAGAGTAGTGGGATTTGAGAATAATTCTATTACAATAGATTTTATTTTAGTTTTATTAAAATTAATTGTTATGGACATCTAATCAAATAAAAAAATTAAAAAAATAAAAAAAATAAAAATATGTTAAAAAAACTTTAAAAGTTTTAAAAGGATGAAATTATAAAATTTTAAAAATATAAAGTTAAATTATAAAAAATGTGAAATTGATGAGGGGGCGGGGCCGCTACTAGCCGGCCTCTGGAGCCAATGGCGCCTAATTTGTGGAGGGTGCAAATCGTTTCCCAAGAATAATGAACAAAATTTGATTCAACCGGCTTTATTAATTAATGTTCAATCATAAGTAAGTTCACTTAATATATCCTATTTAAATTTGCTTCTTCTGCCTTTCTGTTTTCTTTGGGTAATAACTTGATAGTAATTATGTCCTTTTGATTAAAGTATAGTGGTTCTTTCTGCTGACAATTGGTGCTCAGAGTTTCTCCCCCGGTAATGTTAATAATTAGGCTCATTTATGATCCACCAGCAAGCTGAGGCAATATAATTGCTACTTCAAACAAGGCAAAATGATATTGTCCAGAATGGAATGGAAATCTCTGCCTCCTTTTTGCGTCTCATAGATACCCCAGTTCAGCTACCGTACCCAATGTCCTGAAACTTTTAATTGAATGAAATACGATCATTAACGGTATGCAATAAGGTAACGACAGTAGATGGATAATCGGACGGTAAACAAATAAAAAAAATTAAAAAATATTTTCAATTTAAATAGCAAAGGATAAAAGGTTGAGCAGTTTTTGGACCTCTCACTCTCACTATCAAGGCTTAATTAATTAACGTATCCGTAGATGGGTCTATACATTGGTGAATCACATTTCACGTTCGCTTGTCCCCTCAACGCCTCTTTTTTTTTTCGACGAACTCTTCTTCTCTAATTCTTTCGGCAAGATATACTTGCTTGAAAAGGACTTATTTGCTGCTTGTTGGCTACAAATTAATGGCAAGGTCTGCATGCTGCGAGAATATGGGGTTGAAGAAAGGGCCATGGACTCCGGATGAAGACCAGAAGCTGTTAGCTTATATCGAAGAACATGGCTTCGGAAACTGGCGTACCTTGCCTGAAAAAGCTGGTACTGATTCTCAAATTTTCAAGTTATCTTGACCAAGAATTACGTCTTTTAACTTTGTTCTGTGTTTTCTTATTCGTTGTCATTGCTGGTGTACATGATTGAAGGGCTCCAAAGATGTGGAAAGAGCTGTAGACTGAGGTGGATCAATTACTTAAGACCTGATGTCAAGAGGGGAAAGTTCAGCTTACAGGAAGAACAAACCATCATTCATCTCCATGCTTTTCTTGGGAACAGGTGGAAATTACCACAGTAATACACAAGTAGTTTATAGTTTATTCTCTTTTGAGAAGCATAAGTAAGAAATCTAGCTAGGCGTGCGTGCATTCAATTTTTTTCCTGATCCTTCTGATTACTGATAACACAATCTACAATTTTGCCTAGGTGGTCGGCTATAGCAGCTCACTTACCCAACCGAACAGACAATGAGATCAAAAACTACTGGAACACACATATTAAGAAAAGGTTTAGCAAGATGGGGATTGATCCCACCACCCACAAGCCCATATCAAACCCCCCCAGCTCCACCAGTGGTGGCCACTCGCGAAACACTGGCACACTGAGCCACATGGCTCAGTGGGAGAGGGCTCGTCTGGAAGCAGAAGCCAGGCTGGTCAGAGAGTCAAAACTAGTATCGAAACCTTCCCCAAATAATAAGCCAGGCTTCTCGGCTAGACCGAGGAGTACCAGAACCTCATCAGCCCCTTCGACAAGATCACAGTGCCTTGACGTACTCAAAGCATGGCAAAGCGTAGTTGCTGGCATGTTCGCCATCACCAATAACAACCTTGACCCTCCACCGTCAACAACATTCTTGGACAACTCGATCCCTGTAAGCACAACAAACGAGCTTGATCTAGCAGCTGCTGGCTCTACATGCATGGAAGGAATAATTGCTGAAGATGATCAGCTGATGTTGGACGACAGGTCAAACCAAGTACCCGAATTAAATGAAAAATTCGATACCTCCATGGCTTTGCATGATTCAACGTATCATTGGACTGCTGATTCAGGAAATACCATTGAAGATTTTTGGGACATCTCGGTGCATGATTTTGGTTACCCAATGGATTGAACAAAAATCAAACATTTATTATGCTATTTGCCTATTTCTATTTTATTTTTGTAGTTAATTGTTTGTCTATATATTTGATAATGTTAGTACTGTTGGTAAGTGCCTTTAGATGACCACCCATTGAAAGGCACAGGCAAGGAGCCAGGGAGTAGAGATGCATGGTGAGGATTGAGAGTTTGGGACTTCAGCAAATTGGAAGTATTGGGGAAATAGGGCTTTGCATGGTGATGGTAGAGTAAGGGCGTGGCACCATGGAGTAGGAATAATAAGCGAAAATTAATCACATCTGTTACAAAGAAAGGAGGAAAAACTCTCCTTTGCAAACACAGCCATCCCCCTTACACCACCCTGTTGTATATCCAACGTTACACGCCTTAGTATCATAACAAGCAACATAAGTTCTTTCCCCTTATATCAAAACAACAATCAGTAAAAACATTTAACCTGCTTTATCCCCCCAAATAAAGACAGCTATGATTTGTGGAACTCAACCAAAACTGACCTCAACAGCTTCATCACTCATTTAAGCCTGCTGCATCACAGCTTTTAGCTCAGTCATCCCTCTCTTTAAGTTATGTGGTATATTTTGAGAGTTAACGTTCTCAATCATTGATTGAATTAAGATAAAACATCGATAAGAGTAGAATTTAAAAACTCTTTGTGTCGAAGCTACTACCTTATTAATTGAGAGGACGAAGTAGTTATGAAAATATGGACAGATCAGTCGATGGCCGGGTTGCCAGTATTTAAGCAGAATGTAGTTATGCTAAGAACAAGCACTGCAAAGTGGAGTCATTGCCTTATTAATTTGTGCTGCAAAGTCATGGTAACACCTGTAAGGCTGCAACAATTGCAGAAACTAAGTATAAGAACGTGAAAGCCAAGAAGAAATAGCATTTAATAGGGACCCTTGGCTGAATCCAGGTTTGACAGTTAAAACAAAGTTTTTGCGTAAATTTGGTCGCTTTGTTGCCATTTTCTCTTTCTCCCTTCCCTCTTAATTATTTAGTTGACGAAGGTTACCAGCTTCTGGTGTTAAGACCCCCAGGCCTCCTTTTGTAAAACAGGGACCCTCTCCCTGCTTTCTTTGATATCCAATCATACTTAATCTTTCAAAAAAAAAAAAAATAATTGACGAAGGATGCAATGTTCACTATAAAAATGATGCACTCAAGGCCAAAAACCTATTACAAAAATTATTATTTTATTTCCAGATAATGGAATTGTTCGGTTTTAGAAGCATTGGTAACAAGCAGGATGTGGGTAATTTTCAATTCAAGTCATTTTTGGATTTAGAGTTGTTTTTTTTCTTTCTCAAACTATTTAAAGTAAGGGTAGATTCAAAAAATTTTATGAGTGATGTCATAATAAAAATAATAAATAATAATTATTTTTTTTCCTTAATTCAAGATCTGACGGAAGAATATTAAGATCAAATTCGGCTTAATTTTACTTAGAAGATTATTGAGCACCATCATTTGTAAAATTATATTGTTATTGGTCAAGACTTGAGTCTTGTGAGATAATTTTTTACATTTTAAAATATCTTTTCAAAAATTATTTATCCAAAAACTTGTTAAAAATTACCACTAATTTCTCATTAGTATAAATAAAATTATTAGAATTAAACAAACTATAATCTTGTATAGCAAATTATCAGGTTCAATGATTAACAATTTGACAAATTTCTATTTATTGATGAGAAGCAAGTATAAGCATCCACAAACCATAAATAGTTAAATACAAAATTAAATAATCAAACAATATATCTACAAAATAAAAAAAAAAGACTCATAATTTCAATATATTATTTAACATGCAATACTATTTTCTATTAGTTAGACTGTAACCCTAAATTCAAACTATCAAATTAATAAAAAAATATTCAGACATGATGTATTTAAACACTTAATTTGAGTTGAAAATTACTTATAATTGAAACTTGAATGAGTTGTTTTGAAAAGGTAAAAAACACAATCAAGGACCGAGAAGAGTAGGAATTGAATTTTTGGACAAGGGAGTACTTTAGGTTTTGATTTTTTTAATAAAATCTTAAACTAAAGAAGGAAATTTATTTGTCTTTCCATATAATATTTAAATATTAATATATAAATTACTTTTTGATAAATCTATTTTCGTTTAGAGTCTTTGACTCCACTCCCTACAAATTGCAAAAAAAAAATTAGTGGGTTCATTAATATATTAACTAAATAAAACTCTAAATTAGTAGTATTGCAAGTAAACAATTTTAGTAAATAAGTGGTGTCATGTGACACCACTCCCTCTAAGGTAGGTGGTTCGCCCTTGTTTTAAAGTCATCGAATTCGAGTTACCACACATATCAAATTACTTTAAAATTGGAATTATTTCAAACTAAGGTTATTTGGATTCAAATCATTAGACTATTTTAATATATCATTGAGTTATAATCAGGTTTGGTTTTGGGTGGCTTAGGGTTTTTGAGTTAGGTCTTATTGTGCATTCTATTCTCATAAGCAAAGCAAGATTAAGGAGTTGAAACATTTAATAATCAATTAATTAATTTTTTTAATTTATATATATATATATTTAATTAAAAAGAAAGAAAATTCAAACTCAATTCTCTAAATAAAGGATCATGTATCAATCAATAAACTAAATAATGCTTCATAAATAAGTCAATCCTTTATTCTTAGTTTGTGGAGTCATATAAGATAATTTTCCCAAAAAGAAAAAGAAAATGGAATAGACTTCTCAACAAGATGGCACGTGTCAATTTGCCCAATTAGGCCTAGCAAGTGCCAATCTCCCTCCCTCCCTCCTTCCTTCTTGGGCTTGGTTGGATTGGACCTGATTAGTAGAAATCAGTAACTCATCACATGAAGGGAAAGCAAAATTGGGGCCAAGAGATAAGGGAAAGGAAAGACTGGGCCTAGAAATTTGCAAAACTATTCCATGATGGCTATAATTATATAGTGAAGGACCGATTCATTGAAAGGTAAAATCGTAGTTGTAATATCAGCAATCAAATTAGGAAATAGATTGACATGCAGCAACAATCACAAAGAAATTCAACTTGGAACTTGAAATCCTGTCCAGCTTCTAAACCTTGTAATCTCACTTCCATCAGAAACCGCCATTCCAATCCCACTTCTCCCTCCATTGCCAATCCCTCTGTAGTACAATCTCCATTCATCAACATCACCATCCATTTCCACTAAACAAGGTGATCCAATCCCCTTGTTATCCCATTCATCATCAGTTCCAGGCTTTAGCACTGCCTCATCTCGAAGCCTTGTCCAACCTTTCAATCCATCAGGTGACACTGCCAATCCAATGCTTCGAAGTCCATCTGCATCGACTCCTTCATATGCCATTATGTACTTTCCATCTTTCTTGTTCTTGACTACACAGGGATTCGTTGCACCGAGTTCATCAAAGCAACAGCGTTTTCCTCCTCCCATTATCTTGCCCAGCTTTATCCATTTCATCCCATCTCTTGACCTTGCAATGCCAATGCAAAATTCCCCATTTTTCACATCAAATGAATGATAGTACATTCTGAGATCGCCATTTCCATGGAAAACAACTTGTGGTGCTGCTATAAACAATGAATCCCAATCTCCTTCAGACCCAACATCAAACAGTGCTCCACTATGATGCTCCCCTTCAATTCTAGCCCAATGCCTCCCATCTTGACTGATTGCCAAACCTGGTAAAGACCTAAAGATCTTTCCAATTCCTCTACTTCGACTATCATCAACACAAAACCTTTCCGGGTTTTGTACATTAAATCCTGTAGAATTGCTTAAAATATCCAGCTGCTCACTGCTGTAGCCGGTGTAGTAAAGCCAGTAAACAGCACTTGAAGCTCTCACTTTAGCACTAGACATGATTACTACCTCTCCAGGCATAATGCTTTCAGTGTCAAAAGCCCACCAATCATTACCGCAATTCATCACCAAACCAACATCTGCACTTGATTTAACTGCACCTTTACCTCTCTCCCAGTGTACCCCATTGCTTGAAACTGCTAATCCTATGGAATCTGAACCTGGTTTCCCATTAGAAACTCCATGGTACCACATGTACCATCTCTCTTCCTCATCACTGAGGAATCTTTTAACGACCGGTGAGCCAATTTCTCTGCAGTCCCAAGAATCCACAGTACCCAAATCAAGCACCAAACCTCTAGAAAGAGAAGAAGAGGGTGTTGATGAAGAGGGAACTGCTTCATTCGAAACGTGTCTTGTTGGGTTTTCGTTGTCTGGATTTGGATTCGCTTCAAAGGTCGAATATTGGTCAGTTTCGTTGTTTGTGTCGGTGTTTGGTTTAGTGGAACAGCGAGTGAGAGAGAGTGGACTGAATCCGGTAGTAGGATTTGGGGCATAAAGAGTGAGCATGTTGAGTTTGTTCTGTGGCCATGCTGAGGCCAAGGAGGCAGAAACAGTTGCTCTTGGGACGGCGGAAGTTGCAGGGAAGTTAACAGCTTTCATTGTTGCAGCTGGCACAGCTTCCATGGGTGGAGAATTGTTGAACGGATTAGGTTACGTGTGCCTTGTCTGACTAGTAGCCAATCACACAGCGACACGTTTAATGAACCCTGATAGAGCCAGAATGAGAAGGCCAGGGAACTCTCGGTGTTGTTCTTATAAGGGAAATTTTTACCTAAAGAGAAAAAATAAAGTAGAAAACAGGGTCCCCTACATTTAAAGAAAAAGTAACCTGTCTGTCTGGCTATCTTGCTTTTCTCCCCTCCCTAGCTAAAATTAAAAGCTAAATAGAAAATAAGTTTTTCTTCATAGCATGCCATGAAAGCTACTGAACAAATTGAAATTTCGGGTCGATGAAGTTGAAATGAACAGTAAAAGCTTGGATTGCCTTTCCTTTGGCGGTGTCACTTTCCAAACATAAACAGTGACAGCTTGCAGTGAAGAATGATCTTTTTAGTTCAATCTTTCTGCTTTAGTTGATCCATTGGTCTTAGAGGGAGGAGATTATTTCCCTCCTCTTCAAGAAACATGTGCTTGGGGTTATGAGCCAAATCTTCTTTTTACCTTTTCTTTTTTTCAATCTTTCGGCCAGGATAAGCATAGCTATGGGTTCTTTTCACACTACGGAAGTAAAGTTGCTTCATGCTGGAAATAAAGACCGACTGCATACCATGCTATGAAAACTTTCATCAAAGCAAACCAAAATAAAAAGGTTAAATAAGTTCCAGCAGGCAATTAATGTTATATGCATGGCTAATTAACATAAAAGTAATGTCTCAACTCTCAAAATGAAGATGGCTAAAGGGGGAAAAGGAGTTCTGAAGAATAAAAGAAGCACCCTCTGACATTCACTGATGCACCTCAATCTAAGACCTTCAACAGAAAAACAAGCCTACTTACAAAAAATTCTACAGATTAGGGGCAACTTCACAGTTCTATGAGATACATTGCAGTTCAGCACACCATCAAAACCAAAAAAATTGTACTTCTACCAAAATTTTTTAGACAAAATTGGTGAAATTGAAATCTTTGTACCAGCTATAACATATCATGGCTATCTACTACCTTAAGGCCCCAGCTAATGTCTTCACAATGTCTTACATGTGGAACAACTCTACCTGTATCAATTCCTTTCTTAGCTTTGCAGTCATAAAAGGGAGGAGCATGGAAACAAGGCTCCATTGACATTGCACGCTGACAAGGTGGATTAGGGGTTGTCTGATTTTCAGACTTGTAAAGGATCCATGGCTTCAAACCCCCAAGACCCTGAGCTACATAGCCAAATGTAGACCATGCACTTGTGACTAACACATCAGTCAAACTGAGCAGATACATTTCTGCCCATGCCTTCATGTTGTGCAATGGATTTTCAGTCTGCTGCTGCTCTTCATGACTTGGCTGGTGAACCCCAATTATATCACCAGTCACAGTGGGGTGTTCCCAATACATGTTTCTCAGGTTCTCGAAGTACCCAGCAACCAAAGAAGTCACCAAAACAGCTTTCACCTTTGGGTTTTCTGATGGAGTCGCAATTGATCCTCTAATATCTACTTCAGGCAGCAGTTTCTCTCCTAGAATGCAGGCTGAAATTTGGTTTTTCACATATTGGTATGGACCAGGCCCATCAAAAATTCTCACTTGAATGCCAATCCTCTCATCTGCCTTGGCCAAGTATGCATTATAGTACCTTGTAATTAATCCCCACACATGATTTGAGGGGTGAAAAAGATACCGACCCAAGTGGTGGAATATGGTTTCCTTCTGGGGAAATAGCATGCTTAGTTCATGCTCAAACGATGGCATCAAGAAGAGAGAGGGGATAAAATAGTTGTCTGTTTTCACTATCAACCAAGGGACCTTCTTTAGAAGAGCTTGATCATCATCACAGAAAAAGAGCTTGTCATAATCATCATAATCATGAGCCAGATGAAGATAAATATATGATGGAAGTGATTCTGTAGAAGGTTTTATGATGTTATTCTTAAGCATATTCCCATAGGATTCAGGAGACTTCTGACCAATGCTTTTAAACTTATCGGTGATAGGGAAATTCAGGGGAAGAAACCATGATTTCTCAGGAAATGGCTCGCAGAACAAATCAGCCATGTCCTTTCCTCGGTCAACAAGCAGGACTCTCTCTGTTAAAAGAGCATAGAGAAATACCGACGCCAGAGTCAAAATCCTGTTCCCCAAGCCACTATAACATACCCAGACAACATATTTACAATCTGTAGAACCAACACTACGACCAGACTTGAGCTGTTCCACTGTTTTATTGTAGGATTGAGTGTTCGGTCCACAACGTTTATGTAGATCTTCATAATTTCTAAGTTTAGAAAGAAGGTATGGAGAAGGTTTATAGGGTGAAGTTTTGCGATATAGATTCGACTCGTACTGACTTAAACAAGAATGTTCATCAAACCCAGCAGCAAGAAGTCCACCAAGCAGTTTGTCTTTAGCCATATCAGTAGGTTTGGCGACATCATCTCCTGAACCAAGGAATTGCAGAGGAAGGAAAGAGGAACTGAGAAAAATAACTAATAATTCTATACACTGCTGCAAGATCACTCACTAGTCACAACAATTGAATCGAATTTCTGCTTTGGGAACTAAGAAATATATCCATATATTGCACTGGATTTAATATGATCTCAATTTTCAATCAATTTTCATAGTTTTTCCTATTAAAACTAATGTAGTACTTATTTTTGGCTTTGTACCTGGTAGTAGCGGCGTAGTAACATTGGCGTAGAAGGGTCGAGCGTCAGCGAATCCCGTGAAGCGATCCGACCGGTGGTGCCGGAGGATGATGGTAAGCATGACGACGACGGGGAGAGCCATGAGGAAACTAGCCAGGCTCTTGGTGGACAACCGCATGGTGTCGAATCCCAAACTCCTGGAAGAAGACCGCGATGACGATGATGATGACGACGACGACGACTTTGAACAAAACAACGGGCGTCTCCTCAACAAACTCAGATCCATCCAAGAACCCAAAATTCTAAAGCCGCATTTGGTATTGGATTTTGTGTAAAAGGTAAAGACGAGTGTACAGAAGAGTGGTTCGAGTGAAGAAATTTTAAATGCTTAGGTAGAGTGCGCCATGGTCAAACCTGGACGTGTGGGTTAGATGGGGTTGTATATTTACGGTTCCGCCATTTTACTACCGCAATTCATGGAGGAGCAGATCGGCGCAACTGATGGAGGATGCTCAGCTGTTGCAATTGCATGCATTGTTATGAAACTAAACACGTGAATAAATATAAAAAAATTAATTCTCTGGAATATTTAATTTAATGATAAATATATTATGATTTTATTAAAAAATCGTGTAAACACTTAATATATTTTTTTAAAATTGAAGATGGATGTTAAATCCGAATTCAAATATTTGATTCAATAATTATTACATATTTGTTATTTAAAAAATAAAATTTGAATATTTTTCTTTAAATTTTTTATTTGAAAAAATCAAATGTGGACTTAGGAAATATAGAAACACTGCATTCAAGCCCAAAATCTGTAAAATCTAAGCCCAACGCAGCCCAACCCAAACAGTATTTGTCTAATGAATTACGGCGTCGTTTTGGTGACAACTGCTTCTTCTTCCAACACTCTTTTAACCAAACGCTACCTAAACGGAGGTGGCTCACCGCCACTGAGCACTACCAAGAATGGCGTTCAGATTAGCGTTACTGAAGCGCACCGGCGCAGACTCCGGTTCCGTTTTGGGGCTGAGGAGGTGGGTTCATGCTTCAGCTCTCCCTCCACCGTTGGACGCTCCCATGAGTCGGCCCACCGCATCGCAGCCGTTGGTTTTGCCCGAGTCTGATCAAATCCCAGACAGCAACAGTAATAAAGACATCTGGTTCGGATTCGGGTTTCCAAGTTTCGTTTTTGGAGGATCCATGGAGCTCATGGCTGTCCCCAAGAAGAAAGTAATTCTTTTTTGTTTAAAGATAGTAGTTTTATATATTAATTCAGTTATTTTGTGGATTGATTAGTTTGAGCATTTCTATTAACTTAGATAAACAATTTTTTCTTTTGTTTATGGCTTACGATTTTAAGTTTCTTCGAGCAATCAAGCTTAGATTTTAAGTTTTGTGCATGTTGCAGGTGAGTCGCCATAAGAGAGGCATAAGAAATGGACCCAGAGCTTTGAAACCTGTTCCTGTGATTATTAGATGCAAGTAAGGGTTGAACTTTATCAATATTTGTTTCATGTTGGTCTTGGTAATTGCTTGAATTAGTAATGAACAAAGTTTAGTTTAGTTTAGACTTTCTTTTTCCCTTTTTTCAAACTGATGAGAAGGGCATTTATTGGCTTTGTGATTGCAATTAGATGTTCATCAGTCTTTGCTTAGTCAGGGACATACTCGCTACATTTGTTCTAAAGCATTATCATTTTTCTAAATGTTCAGTCTTTGCTTAGGCAGGGACATTCTTGCTACATTTGTTCTATGCTTTAAAATTCTTGGTGTTATAAACCTTGTATGACTTGCTCTTTGAACCTGTTGAATGGGTTGTAGCAGGCTAGCAGCTTAGAGGAGGGAAAGAAATTTAGCTGTCCTTAATAGGAATTGCAAAGGCTGATTATTAGAGCTTTGGCACCCCCAATGTTTTGCTTTATTCTCTCCCACCTGTATGCATATGAACATATGCTTACATATATCTACATATCTAGAATGCATGATAAGAAAATGATAATGCAAGGTGGAAACCTGTCATCTCTTGGAAGTCCTCAACAAAGAGATGGAATTGGATGGAATATACCGATAGTGTTTTTCTTACACAATAGAATCTGTGCCATTCATGACCTTCAAACAAAACATACAAGTTGTCATTGGTAAATTAGATATGGTTGCTCAACTCTTGTTGGTAATATTTCCTTGGGAATCAACATATGTATAATTATAACCTATTGCTTTGTTGCAGGAGCTGTGGTCGAGTTAAGTTGCCACACTTCTTCTGTTGCAGTGGAGATCGGGGCAAGGAGGGTGAACAAGGTGACTCATCTGGTTAAGCATGTTGTGTCTGTTGGTGGGAAAATAGAGATAAACAAGTAGTTTTTCCATTTTTATGAGTAAAACTTTTTATGGATGTCATGTATCCAAATTTTCTTGTAGAAATCTAGGTTGGACAAAGGTTGATCCCTGTCAGTCAATATGTTTTGCTTTGTGATATGTTAACTGGTGCATTTGGGGCTGTTGGCAGATCAATCTAATTACGTGACTATGTTAGCAAGTATAGCCCATTGGGTGTAATTGCATAACAGGATGCGTAGTGTTCAATTTGATGCCTTCCTCATCTCCTCCCAAGGCTTTCCATTTCTCTTAGCCCTTACCAGATGTGTTCTTTGTTTGGAACTTGTTTGTTATCATTTAAAATTAACTGGGGATTTCTTTGTAAAAGAAAGAGAGGACAAAGTAACCACGATATCTTGGCTGGAACTAGTTTCTGTGCTAGAATGTAATAATGAAGGCGTAATATACAGTTATATTGCACTCCTTTCCAATATTGGAAAGTAATGTTGATCTCGAACACGTTTACTGCTTCATGACGAAGTGGTATAACTCAGAAATCTACTTTCTCGATCACTCGGCATTACTCTCTTTTTGGCTTCTCCATCTTTCTTCAATTTATGGACTCTAGGAATAGTCTACCATGAGGGTAAGTAATGTCATAAATGTAAGATTAACGATGGCCGAGCAGGGTCCTTTTCAGAGCAGGTTGAACACTCTTTGCCAAGTGTCCTACAACTTTCAGGAATCCTACTGTTAAACAAGACACTAGACAAACGATTCTGGAATATCAATTCAAGCGGCAGAAAAGGAAAATCATGCTCTGATTAGCTTGATTCCGAAATGGAATCTTGGCTTGTTGGGATTTTCAACATTTTAATTCATAAGATCTTAATTTTGAGAACAAAGGGTGTTTACAAGTTGAATGTGATTATTGCATCCATAAATCTTCAGGAGTCTCCAAGCTGTCCAATACTAACATTCGCAGCCTTTCCAGGCAGGTTCTTTCACACCTGATGGTATGCTGATGCCAGAGAGTTCAATATCCTTTTCAATAGCTTAGCTAAAACGAAGGTTAGCTATATCAGAAAAGGGAAATGTAAAGGAAAAAGCAACTCATAAGTATGATTTCGAAAAACAACCTGACAAGATCTTGCCAATCAACAGATGGGAAACTGGGATTTATCCAAACAACACAAATAGTCCAATGTATGCCGGATTTACTGCTATCAGATACTGCAGAAATTAACACATCATCACATCTGTTTGCCGAGGCTGATACCGCGTGTTGCCCCCTATTGTCCCCACCGCCACATGCAGTAGAGAGAGGTGTTCTGGTGGTCAAAAAGCTTACCTCACACATATCTTGTTATCCAGCCAAGTGAAAGGAGACACAAGACGAAAAACCATGCAACAAGTAAAATATTTCTTTACTGGTTAAGACCGCCTCCATGGAATGTGGTCACCCCCACCTGATTTCTTGTCACTTGTCATAACTAACAACAGCCAGACTGAAGGATTGTAACCTAACAGCCATTAGTTGACATTGGCATGAGATGACAACTCAACCTCTCTCATTTTCAAATGCTTCAGAGAAGACAGAGAACTTAAAATTGAAGTTTCCTTTCATGAGTCATTTTCAATGACTGGGTTCTTTTTCATTTTCTTGTTTGCTTATGTTAAACAACTAAACAAGGTATCTCAGGATGTCTTTTCTCCTACAGCTCTTAGTTTGTTTCTTTAACATGCACTCGTTTTCAGTTCTTTGATTGATTTTCTTGTAGTTCTGGTTACATGTTAGAACATGATTGCTTGTGTTTTTTAACAAGTTCATCCTCTGAGAAGTTATAATTCTTGTACTTCAGGTTAAAGCTGAAATCCCCTGACTGCTTTGGTGAGATATAAGCAAAGACTTAGAAGACAATGAAATTTAGAAAAGAATTTAAGAAGCAAATGGTGCCTGAGTGGACAGAAGCCTATCTGGATTATAATGGTCTAAAACGTATTTTACGAGAGATTTTGCACTACGAGCTAAGTAAGCAGCCGGCAATACCTCTGAAATCCTTACAGAAGATATTATCTCTGCACCGAACTCTCAGCGGTCTACATCTACACCCAAGCAACCTAATGAACAAGGGAGATGTAGAGGATCAAGTGACAGATGTTAGCAAATTGCAGAAAGATGATTCTGGACAGTTTTACAAGACAGAGATCCTCGGGCAGTCTGGGGAAGGAGGAGAGAATGAGGTTGAATTCTTTACAAAGCTTGATGAAGAGCTCAACAAGGTCAACACCTTTTATAAGGAAAAGATAGAGGCAGTGATGGATGAAGCAGCTTTACTGAATAAAAAAATGGATGCTTTGATTGCTTTGTGGATGACCGTACAAAGCTGTGGTGGTAATGGTGATAGTTTAAGAGAACATCAGCCTGCTGATATTCCGACTAGGATGCCCTTGAAAGAGACTACTCAGGGTAAGTGCAAAACTAATATCATGTAGGTTTTTGCAAAATTTAAAAAACTTCTATCCAAATTTAATGGTAATGAAAGAAAATAACAGAATATGTACAAACAATAATCAATCATATGTACTTTTAAAAAGTAATTAAAGTGCAGCTGACACAGAAGCTTCACATTATAATTCATTTTGGTCAGAGATTCATATAGTAAATTATATGAAAGTGTAAAAAACATATTTTGCAACAGTGGTTGCTATAGTAACTGGGAGAAAAACCACTGCTAAAACTTATTTCTCAATGTTTAGACTTGGTGAAGCAGCTCTGGTAGCTTTTTTATTCAATTATATTGAGGCTACCAGTCGTTATATATCTTTCCTGTATGCCAAATGTGCAGGAATGGGCTTTGAAGATTCAAGTTATGAAGTGGAGATGAGTGGCAGAAGTGCACTAGAAGAATCTTCCTACGCTCATAGTGGTGATGTAGTTCTGATTCATGATAATGACAATCTTCTGATACTTAAGGAAACTATTGTGTTCTTGAACTTAGAGTCTTTATTCTGAATGTGCAGGAAGTGAAAATATGGATGTGATTCTTCAAGAGATTAATCATGATGAAGAATCCACTAGTGGCCCAGAATCAATCCATTTTGAAATATTCAAAAGAGTAATGGTTGCCAGGAGGTAGGCAACAGCTCTGTCAGCCAACAAGATCCCCTGGATATTCTCGAGCATGTGAAGATTAACAATACCCTTGAATCTCCTCTGTCAACCACAAAAGGTCTTTTCAAAGATTTCAAAGATGATGAGTTACGTTTCGAAACGAATGAACTGAGGAAAGTTGAAAAAAGGCAAGAGAAAGGTGTTTATCGAATTCTACCAGAAGCTTCGGCTTCTACAGCACTACAGGTGATAAACGGTTAAACTATCTGTTAATTTACCATATAGTAAAATTTGTTTTTGCTTTTAAAGTCATTGACATGTGTCTTGCATATGGTTGAACCAGTTTCATGAATCTTACAGCATTATCCAACATCATGAAAACATATGATAAGGTCAGAAATCATATGCTTGTACAAATATCCGAGTTGCATTTATGACATACCAATTAGAAGCAGAAAAAATGGCACTTCGATTTGATCTAAACCTGTCTCAATGATCTGTCACTTGTTTACTCTGCATGGATGAAGATTGCATCAAGAAGGGCAGCAAGAAGGGCAGCAAGATCATACATGAAACGAGTGGAAAACTCTTCTATTGGCAGTTGTGATGAGGTTTTGTCTCAGTTACTGACACTGTTATCTTATTATTACAATTTATGTCAGTGCCCCAAATTTCAGAGACTTCATTCTTCTCTAAAAAAAATCATGAATATACCCCCTAGTCTAATGCAAAGATAACTAGGAGCTTATTTGCATAATTGGGTCCATATATGAATTGAGAATTGAAAACAAGCTAGTAAATTTGACTCTTATATATGTCACCTCTCTACCTAGAGCAAATTTTCCTTTTAACTGACTAGCTCTGTTCTATTCTAGGTGAATAATCTCTTGGAGAGGGTTGAAGCTATCATCATCAAGCATTTTTCAAATTCGAATATGCAAGAAGGCATGAAATCATTGAGACCAAAAAGCAAAAAAGAGAAGCACAGTGTCTCATTCAGTTCTGGTAAGTACTAACTTAACTCACTGCTCAATTTGCCATACCAAGAAATTCTTTAGCAAGGTAATTAGCATGCAAAGCCTAGTTCAGAACCTCCATCTATTAACTTCTGTTGTGTTGTTGTGTTCAGGCTTCTTTTCTGGGTTTTCAATTGCATTGCTCATTGCTGTTGTTTTAAGGATAGAGACCAGAAAACTAACTGATGAGGAGGGTGCCTCGTACATGGTTAACGTTTTCCCACTTTACAGGCAATGAAGGATTTTTCTGATTTTTCTGTTGCATTGCATTTAGAATTAATTTTATCTCTTCAACAATTTTACTTCCAGACCATATACTCACTAAGAACTACTTTAATTTCTTTGCAGTTTTTTTGCATATGTTGTCCTGCATATGCTCATGTATTCTTCAGACATATACTTTTGGAGGCGTTATCGAATCAACCATCCATTTATCTTTGGTTTCAAGCAGGGAACTGAGTTGAGCTATAGAGAAATCTTCCTCCTGAGTTCAGGTCTTGCAGTTGTTGGGTTAGCTTGTTTCCTGGGAAACTTGCACTTGGATCTCGGCTCAAAAACTCAGCATCACAAGAAATTAACTCAACTTTTCCCTTTGGGCTTAATTGCAGTAAGAATTCAGAAGTAGCTTTAGTTTTTCATTCAGATATTGCTGCTAAATAAGAATTGACTCAGTTTTCTGATGAAGTATAACTATTCCCTTTTCCCTTCTATTAATTATGTATAACACTTAGCCGAATTTACATCATATGATTTCTCTTGTATGTTGCAGATGGTTCTGGTCATATTGTTTTGTCCTTTTGACGTCATATACCGCTCAACTCATTTCTTCTTCATTCAATCCTTATTTCGCTGCCTTTGTGCTCCTCTTTACAAGGTAATGAAATGGAGAAAATCAGAATAACAATGTGTGTGCGAGACAACTAAGATAGTCATGATATCATTATTGTTGTCTATTTGTAGGTTACACTCTCAGATTTTTTCTTGGCAGATCAGCTTACCAGCCAGGTTTCACAAAGTATTTATGTATTTTGTCATAAGTATAAATGACAATGATAAACTAACTTTGGTCTTTTTTCTTGGCCAAAAAGAAAAAGAGAGAGACTTGCATCTGTTTCTGATGTCTCCCGCCATTTGATCTCAGGTCCAAGCTATAAGGAGTCTTGACCTTTATATTTGCTACTACAGCTTGGGAGAAGTCCCCCGACGGCAAGACAAATGACATGGTCACAGTGTTTATAATGTTCTTTATTTTGCTGTTGCTGTAATACCATACTGGATCCGTTTGCTACGGGTATCATTTCATTTCATTTTTCTGGTTTTGCATGCTTGCAACTTTTGATGCAGGAAACAGTGTGCCTGAATGATCATTCCTATTCTGGAGAAGAGAATCATGTAACAAAGCATTGTATAGGAGGTTCTAGGGTTACATGTAACAAATCATGTAACAAAGCATTCTGAATAATGTTCTTTATGTTACCATGTGGACAAGGAAACAGTGTGCCTGAATGATCATTCTTATTCTGGTGAACTGTTTGCGAACGTGCCTGTGCAATGTGCACCGGCATAATAAAATTCTCAGTCACGCTGCATCAAAATGTTTGGTGTGATTATTTTTTCTTAATGCTAGTCAGAGCAAATGCTATCACTTCTGATTTGACCTAGTACTTCCATCCTTGGAACACATTGTTCCTCACAGCATCTGACTATTATGTTCTACCCAAAAGTGTTGTCCTACGTGTTAGAGTTGCATCAACATTAGCTGGCTAGACATTGCAGCTCCCAATAATTGTTCAATTTATATATATATATATATATACACGCATGTCTGAGTGATTAGATTTTGACATGACTATGTATAACATATGCATATGGAATAACGTGACAAGGTAAGCCTCATATGCAACTACCTTGTGCCAATCCATTCATCCTAAGATTGTTCAAAAGCAACCTAGTCTGCTTCTCAACCCATTTCTGCCTAGGAGGCGATGCATCAAACTTTAACCTAAAATCTACATTTTATGTTCATTATATTCTAAACAAAGCAAAATCTTTTAGCAAGACCATGGAAAAAACTCTTATTTGTATTGATGACAGAAGTGCATGTGATTTTCTCCAGAGCCTTCATCGTTTATTTGAGGAGAAAGCTTCAGTGCATGGATACGGTGGTTTAAATTACTTCTTGGCAATCATTGCAATTCTCATTAGAACTGCATTCGAACTAAAGAACAGAACGACCTGGATGGTGTTGGCTCTGGTCAGCTCAGCTGTTACAACAATATTGAGTACATACTTGGATCTTGTCATGGACTGGGGGCTTTTGCGAAGGCATTCGCAAAGTGCTTATTTGAGAGAGAAACTTCTGGTTCCGCACAAAAGTGTCTACTTTGCAGCTGTGGTGATGTCAAGTGACAGGAACTTCGGTGTTCCAATCTTCTTCCAGAGTCAACATTACTAACTGTCTGTTTTGTGCATCACACGGGCCCTGGATATGGTTTTGAGAGTTGCTTGGGTGCAGTTGGTGTTGGAATTTAACTTGCTTGCAGTTCATAAAGTGGCCATAACAACTGTCATTTCCTGCCTAGAAATAATTCGTCGTGGTGTTTGGAACTTCTTCAGGTACTGAACCACTCCTGAAACTAGGCAAGACATTCATGTTCATTTTTATTCTGCAAAATATAGCAATCACTAGCATGTCCAATCCCTTCATCCCTTATCATAATATGAAAATCACTGCCACCATGTCATAGAGAAAACAAATAGAATGCTACAAGATCCTTCTACTTCTTAGTTCTGATCCAATGTCAGAGAAACCTTCACAAATGAGGCAATATTGCTGACCCTTTAAAGAGGCCAAACTTGATTTTTGTCAACATGCAGCATGTGCTGAGAAATGGATCATTGTTTAACCAGGATAGAGAATGAACACTTGAACAATGTTGGCAAGTACCCGGAATTCAAATCAGTTCCGCTTCCTTTCAATTACATTGATGAGGACTCAACCAATGGTGATTAACCACCAGCAAGATATCTCCATCCAGAGCACATTCAGAACCAGATAAAGCAAATCCAAATCCAATTCCTGGAAGGCAATCCTGCAGCATTAAGAAAGCATTCAGTAAAGTCTCGGGCATCTGGACTTCAGTGACATGTTGCACAACACAGTATCAGCAAAATGCAGGCAATGCTGATCATAGCCATTGGCTGACTTAAAAAAAATAAAATGCTTCTGATTTAATTTGTTACTAATGGTTTTTACCCACCAAAGCACTGCATCAGCTTACATCAAATTGGTTATAAGTTAATCCTCTAGTGTCCAACAGTGATAGAAATTGAGATTTTAAATGGATTTTTTCAAATTAGTCAAGTACTCTTCCTTTTTCATATTCGAACTTAATTGTTTTAATTTAAAAACAAATATATATATCATTGAATTAAATACTTAATTTTCATATTATATACTTTAACGAAAGAGTAATTCGTCAAAAAAAATGAATAAATCCATATCGATTTGAGCTATTTAAATTATGATTGTAAAATAATATTAAAAAAACTAGTCTAAGGCCCAACCGAAATTGTTTGGGTCAGCTGCCCAAATACGAATAGAAAGGTCTGTTTATTAATTAATTAATTAAGAATAGAGGCGAAAAGCAGCAAACATTTTCGAAGGGTTTTAGGAGGTTTTAAGCTTGCGTGCAATGCCTTCCCATCAGCAACAAGCCCTAGCGATTCTTCACGCTACTCTAGCTCGCCCTCTAACTCACCGATTTTCATCCGATTCACACTCATCAGACCTACCATGTCATCACCAAACCCTGAATCCTCGGATCCCCAAAGCCCAACAATCCCGTCAGATTCTTCGACCGAGAACATTAATCCGGTCGACCCAGACCCAGATCAACCCAACGGCGAATCGTCGAATTCAGGAGAGGGAGGGGAAGAGGAAGAAGGAGAGTGTGGGTTTTGCTTGTTCATGAAAGCGGGTGGCTGCAAAGAAAGCTTTGTAGCTTGGGAAACGTGCGTGGACGAAGCGGAGAAGAATGGCGACGACGTTGCCATGAAATGCATGGACGCCACTTCGTCTTTGAAGAAGTGCATGGAGGCTCACGCCGATTACTATGAGCCGATACTGAAAGCCGAGAAGGCCGCCCAGGAAGAAGCCATTAGGGAGTTAGAAAAAGAAAAGGCTGCTAAAGATTCTGAGCAAAATTTGGAATCCAAAGAGGATTTGCAGAAAAATTGAGGTGCTTGTTGGTTTTAAAATTATCTCTTTGGGTTTTAGAGATAATTGTTGTTTTTAGGGGTAAATTCAGCCAATTGGATGGCAAAGGAGGATACTTTTTTGGGTACTGATTTACTACTAATAGAGGAAAGGTTATTAAGAAATCACGAGAAATGAATAATATTGAATTGATAATGATTTTTTACTGGAACAAACATTATTGTGTTTTAGTTATCTTTGCTTGTTTAGATTACTTTCTTATGCTGTTTCAGACTTGCTGGTTGATTTATGTGATTTAGTACCTTGGGAATTCTAAGTTTGAAATGAATTTTAAAGTTGCTGGTCAGTCACCAGTTGGTTCAGGTTTGGGAACCTGAATTGTTTTGAAAGAACAATATTTCTACATGCTCCAGTAGTTGTTACTTCTTTCGCAGTTTTTCCAACAACACTCGAGGGCTTATTGAACAGAGTTAATGAGCCCGAAGTTGATCAACCTTTCAAGAACTGAATGGAGAGGTGTTTTGAGAGTTTTCGAATATGGATGCTATGCAAATCCCATGATGAGGTATGTTGAGGAAAAGATTTGAGTGTGGCATTTGAACTTAGATGCTTATAATTTTTATTGCTCTTCAAGATAATATTCTTATTCGATTGAGTAAAATAAATGTTTAATTGATACTAGTTTGAATTGGTTATGGAATGTGATTGTTCCTTAACCCTTCCTATTTCATAAATCTGTAATTTGGTGATTCTTAGAATGGGAAATTCCTTTGCATGATTTGTACCCCCCAAAAAAGAAGAAATCCTTTTCCATGAGGAGAAAAGATTAATTTGGCTGATTGTTGTTGTTAAAGTTCACTGCTCTTACTCCCATTCTACTCTGCGTCAACAGAAGAGACCCCACCTGTGATTGTATCTTACTGGTAGACTTTCTGTTTCCATCCATTATAGTTTATGAAAGTAGTATCTTTATGGATTGCTTACTATCAAGCTATCTTTGGATGTAAGCCTGTAAGTGCATGTAGTTTTCTACAGTAGGATAAGTGGATACGTGCAGCTAGCAGACTGGTATCTCATCATATATGTATTTTCTACTTTGATTTTTCTTTTGTATGCTTTGAAATGGGGATATTAGCCAGGTTGAGAGAGTTAAGAAGTATTCAGAAGAGATGGGGGTCTATACTATTTTGTAGCCTTGCCGTTTGAATATTTACAAAAGAAATCATTGAAGTTTGATTTTTTTTAACTTTGAATCAAATCTCCAAAAAATGTTGGCTCATATCTACTATAATCTTAGTCGTCATTTATATTCAAGCAATCCTGTTTTATTTTGGTTTTGACTTGCCCATTTGGTTCAAACTTGTAAGTTTTTGACATTTTTATGAGATGTATAAAGCTGAGGAAGCTAAGAGGAAAGTGAGCCACTCAATTTACTAGTCAATCTTCTTCTGGAAGTACATTTGATAAATGCATTTACAAGAAAACATTTCTTGACCTTTAAACTTGGAAAATATAGGACAAAACTTTTTACACGAAGAAAAAATCAAATGATAATAGTTACAACTTTTCTACTGCCGCTTCAAAATTATTGTATGAATATCAAATTTTTTTCTCTGCTATAGGCCTATAGCACTTTACGTGTAGTACTTATTTGAAATTGAACGTCCTATTCATCTTTATCTTCATCTTCATCATAGTTGAAAGGTAATGGCACTGACTTGAATGCGCGGTACTTGCCCACGTTATTCAAATGTTCATTTTCTAACCTGATCAAATGATGATAGAAAATGTTAGATTACTTCTCTGGAATGAGTTTATCAGATCACATGGTAAAAAGACATCTTAGTTACCTGAAAAAATTCCACATGCCACGCCGGATGATCTCAAGACTGGCGACTATTGTAATCAAGGTTTGTCTATGCAGAGTGAACAACTTGAAATTGAACACAGTTTGCAACCATGCAAATCTCAGCAGAACATTGAGGACCTGCATTTTTTTGAATCAATAAACATTGTTAGACAGATGATAGAATAGAATGGTAAGCAAATATGTTCCTCTGCCCTTATACTCACCATGGCCCCAAAGTATACACTCTTTTGAGGGATAAGGAGTTTGTCTCTCAACCATCTGTTCTTAGAATGCCGCTGAAGAAGTCCCCAGTCATAGACAAGGTCCCAGTAAGTACCAACAATTGCAGCAGCAATTGAGAAAATAAGAGCCAATACTTCCCAACCTAACCCCTTGTTAAGACTGTAAGCAGTCCGAAAACAAACGGCTACAATTGTCAGGAAATATTTCAGCCCATTGTATCCTTGCAGGGGGTCTTTCTCTTCAAACAACCGACGCAGGCACTGATAAAGGGTTAACAGAAGCATTCTTGATTAGTTTCAATGGCCAAATAGGGTCATCTAGAAATGCGGTGTTTTCAAGTTGAAGTAAATACCTGAAGGAGACGAGACCAATATGGGATCACAGCAATAATGAAGCTAAAAGTGTTGAATACATCGTTGTTTTTGCAGCTGTTCTGTCTGTGTCTAAAGTCTCCCCAACCATAGTAGCAAACGTAGAACTCAAGGCTTCTTAATGCTTGCACCTGAAACAAAGCAAAGGTTGAAACATTTATATGAACTGACCATTTCAAACGAAGTCATGCAGTTTTCAGACGGCAAGGTTCATGTCACAAACCTGGCTAGTAAACTGATCAGCCAGGAAGAAATCTGGGAGTGTGACCTGCAGTAGAAAGTAATTTACAGATTAGTTAGACCTGATCGTCGAAGCTCATCAGTATGTTTTTGTTTATTCTACAAAACCATCACCTATCTCTCTTTTACCTTGTACAGAGGGGCACAGATACAGTGGAACAAACATGTGAGGAAGAAGAAACGACTTGATCGATACAAGATGTTGAATGGCAAGAACAGTATGATAAACACAACCTGCAGAGCAAAGAAGAAACCAAGAAATCAGTTAACTATATGTACTGGTGGAAAGGGAGTGGCAGAAAGGCTTGGATATCTCATTTGAATAAATTCAATAACTAATCCTTACCCCAACCAAGATCAAAGGGATAATTTCGGTGAATGTTTGATAATCCATTGTTTTGGGATCCATCTCCATATCAAGATTTGAGAGCACACTGGCTAGTGCCAATACTGCAAGAGCAAAACTTACAAGGAGCACCTCCCTGTAGCCTAGTTCTGTTCCTTGCTTGAAACCAAATATGAAGGCGTAATTGATTCGAAACCGCCTCCAGAAGTATATGTTGGCAGCATACATAACCATGTGTAGAACAACGAATCCAAATAAGCTGCAAGATGTTAATTTGTGAAAGCTTGTCAAAAATGGATTACAGGGACAGGATTTTGAAGAAAAGCAGATGATAACGGAGAAAACTTTCAAGCCAAGACCTTAATTTGCTGTTACCTGTAAAGAGGGAACATGGTTTCCATGTACTGGATCCTTCCCTCCTTTCCCATGATATTGCGGGCACGAATAATCAAAATAAGTGCTAATATAAGAGCAAATGTACAACCGGCAAAGAAACCTGAGAATGTTCTCGAGGAAGAAACCAACAATGAGTCATAAATAGTTATATCTTTTGAAACGAAATTGCTTCGCTAATGCCTTATGTATATGAAGTTCAAGTTCTACCTGTAGAAAATGTTATTCTATGTCTTTGTTTCCTAGCTTTTGGTCTCAAGATATTCATTCCTTTGCTGCGGTTTGAGTTTGCGAAATGCTTGATGAATGTAGCTTCAACTCTCCCCATGAGTTTGGTAACCTGTGATTGAACATGCAAATTATCAGTAATCCAAGGCACTACACATAGTTTAGTATAGAAAACTTGGAATTTTCTAGTAAATAAATTAATGAGAGCTCACCTCTTCAGAGCTACCTAGATAAGAATTATCCACCATTTTCATGTAAGAGCTTGCAGCGGTCCTTGATGTGATCTGCAGGCATGAGGCACAAAATGTTAAAAATATAGAAATCCCAATTTGGCATCTGAATCAGGGAAGAAGTTAACTAATGAAAAAAAGGGATATACCTTGTCATATTTCTTCATGATTTTGGAGAAAGCCAATGTATTTAAGAAGCTGTTCCAAACACAACAAAGTCAACTATAATTCGAATTGAACGCAGAGAAAGTGCTGATCTAAGTTTAATCTATAAAGCATTAGTCATTACCTATAACTCTTGAGAAGGCGAAGTTTTTGGTAGAATTCAACAAAAGCTCGCTTGAGTTGGTTCTCAACTTTCTTCAGATTTTCCCTGTTAAACTTCAGCTCAGTCTGCTGAGGGACGTTCAGAAAGCCTTTGATGGTTGATAGAGGGGTCTCAAGAGTATTATTTATTTTTACTCGGTCTAGTATCTGTAATGGAGCTGGTTTACGGCTTTTATAGTTAATAACCACCGGCTTTTGAACTGGAACATTTTGCTTTCCATGTTTGCTCTCTTTCTCTTCTTTTTCCTCATCTGATTCGTCATGCATGCTTGGCCCCTCTTCAATAATTTCCATTTTATCAACTCTTCCTGTACATCAAGCAAAAATTACGCCTTCGTTTACTGTGTTATGTACATGGAATCAGATGATGTTAGACCACGGATACCTGTCTGATACAAGTACGTTATGTTTCTTACAATTTTTTACAAGTGTCGTGTCCTTATCAAGCGTCCAAAATATATCAAATAATTTACATTATGTGTTGTGTGCTTGACTTACTGCTTGCTCTAGCCCCAGCTGGAACAGAAGCTGCCAATGCAGCCGTAGACGCTGCAACATCTGAGGCAAGACGGGTCATGTCGCCTGACCTGTCCAGCCATGACCATCCTTGTGGATTCTCCACTTTAATCCTAAACGCAATCAAAGCATCCATTTGCTTGTTCAGGATCTCAGCCTCCTTCGTCACCTCTTTCACCTTGGACTTGTAAAACTTATCCACCTTATTGAACTCATCATCGAGCCTTCTAAAGAACAGCAACTCGTATTCTCCCCCATCGTCTGCCTGCATAAGAAAAGTCGTTTCATAACTCTGGGAATCACCCCGGTTGACAGAAGTCACCAGGATGGGTTGATCCTCAATATCCGGTGAGGATGGACTGATGGGTGGGTGGTTGTGTCTTAGGGTTAGGCCGCTGAAAGCCCTGTACAGAGTCAGCGCCCGTTTTAGGCCACTCGGGGTAGCTGGTGGCCTGGTTCTTTGCTTGAAAACATGGATATCTTTCAA